GACCTATGATCGGGGCACCGCGGGAGTATGCGCTCCCCCCAATTTTGGCCCCTTGGAACCCGGGAAAGGGTATGCATTTGTACTGCTGGAAACCCCCAGACCCTTCTCTCCCACACACCCCATTCCCCCCCCGGCACACACACCCTCCCCCTTCCGCGCCCCTTGCCCACACACCGGCAACGAGACACACCGGCAAAGAGCCTCCGACCAGATGAGCCACCCCCCCCCCCCTCCCCTCCCCTCCCCCTCTCGCCAGGGCGCGCTTCTGGCTCGACCGGCTGATGCGTGACATGCACGCGCAGAGGCCCTTCTCCGTCCTCGGCTCCACCTACCGCGGCTTCAACTGGGACTCCTTCTCCGACGAGGAGATCCCCGTCGCGCTGCGGCGCCACCTCAACGGCAACGCCGTGTACAATGTGTCTCACCCCTTCCTTTTGGAGGCGCTCTCCCAGTACAGCGACGAGCTCTGGACGACCGTCAAACACTCCTCCTTCGACGTGCAGCTGTCCGAGGGGCTCTTCGGCGACAGGAACGTCAGCCTCGAAGAGGCGGAGCGGGTGTACGGCTACAAGACGACGCCGCTGATCTCGAACCTCGCCGCCACGCTGACCGTCCCGCGTGACATCCCCGACACCGTCGTTCTCGTCCACGGCGCGGTCTACCTGCAAGAGTGGCCGGTGCCCGGCTGCCCGCCGACAGGGCTCGGAGTCGACCGGGCGGGGTCTTATCCGCGGAGCATGCTCACCGCGGGCGCGGGCACCTCCCTCACCCTCCTCATCTCCGACTTTGGCGACGGGGACATCGACCGGCTCCTCGCGAGCCTGCGGGTCTGCCCCCCACCCCCTCCCCTCTCCTCCCCTGCCCCACCACTGGTTTGCGTGGAGACATTCACCTAACCGTTGCACCTTGCTTGGCCCCGCAGGCGGCGGAGGAGCACCTCGCCCGCCCCGCGTGCGCGGGCTCGCCCCTCCCCTTCAGCCGCGTCGCCGTGCTCACCAACGGGGCGGGGTCGGCCGCGAGGGCGGCCATGTCCTTCTTGCGCCGCGCCACGCGCCACTTCCGCCTTTGCCGCAGCGGACTGCCGGAGGAGGAGGAAGACGTGGATAGCTCCCTCTGCGACGGCTCCTCCGGTGTCCCCGTGGAGATTGGGCTGCGCGACACGTCCGTCTC